TTATATAATTTATTTAAATTAATTTATATACATATAAATTCATATATATATATATATATATTAAATATAAAATTACTTATAACTAATAAAACATACACATATATATATATATATATATATATTATAAATTACATTATAAATAATATATATATACATATTATTTTTTAATATATATTGTAGATACCAATAACTTTACGATATATATACTTTTTTAATAAGAATCATCAATGTTCTTATTGTTGAATTATTATTGTATTGTTTTAAATATTTATAAAGTTAAAGAGGCATATTATAGGCTGTATAATTCAACTATAGCCACTAAGACAAGCAAGTTGGAGAATTAATTAATAAGTCATTATAAAACTTAAAATGGCAGATTAATACGAATGATTGATTTGCTTAAGCAGTCGTACAATTAGAAACTTAAAATAATAATTTTTCGAATTTAAAATCGAACATACATCGTAACAGTGCGAAAATAGCTACATTAATGATATTTTTTTAAAAAGGGGCACCTCGTTGCGGGTCCCGCAGTGACATGTCTCCTCAGTCGTAGTTCTTCTAGACCCACCAAATGAATATATTTCTTTTACAAAAGAAATTATATTCCTTATCATACTTGTTATATGATATTTACTACTACGCCCGTATATTAATTTGTTCTATATTATAATTAACGTCGATTATCGTGGACCATAATAATAATAAAAATTATATACAAAATAACGAGGGAGCGTAAGAAAAACTAGATCTGAGAAAATAAATCGATTGGAATAAGTCACTAATTTATAGTGCCAAAAAAATGTAGTCACTAATTTCTTAGTAGAACATATATGAATATATACGAACATATATGAAGCTTAGCGGTTTAAGTTGTTATATTTGTAAATTCAGATATTCGTACACGTGAGATAAAATAAATTGCAAAAGAAAATAGAAAATAAAAAATATTTCGAAATTCTCGTGAAATGTGATTGGATTATGTCTCGGCCCCTTATTTTCCCTTCTCTCTCTCTCATTGTCACTTTAACAAAAAATAACCTAAATAATTTCATCTTCCTCCCATCCCAAAAGAACCCAAAACATGTCCTCGTCGGATCAACACGCACCGACGAGTGATCCACCGGGTCCGCCGTCATCCTCCTGCAACTCCGGCCACCACCACCAACCGGAAACGCAAACGCAGCTGCAGCCACAACCGCAGCAGCTCAGCCGCTACGAGTCGCAGAAACGCCGCGACTGGAACACCTTCCTGCAATACCTAAAGTCCCAGAACCCACCGGTCTCCATGTCTCAGTTCGATTATTCCCACGTGCTCAGTTTCCTCAAGTACTTAGACCAGTTTGGTAAGACCAAGGTAACACAAAACGTAGAAAAAACCGAATGATTAACTTTCCTTTGTCAAAAACCTAGACAAGGGATTTACACGAAAGTACTGTATGTACAGATTCCATCTTTTTTTAATGACGAAGCTTTGATTTGGTTAAACTAATACAATAGGTTCATCACCCATCATGCGTGTTCTTCGGACAGCCCGACCCACCTGCGCCGTGCACGTGTCCCCTCCGACAGGCGTGGGGGAGTTTAGACGCTCTGATCGGACGGCTGAGAGCGGCGTACGAAGAACACGGCGGAGGGTCGCCGGAAAACAACCCTTTTGGTAACGGAGCGATTCGAGTTCACTTGAGGGAAATGAGAGAATCTCAGGCCAGGGCTCGTGGAATCCCTTACAGGAAGAAGAAGAAGAGGAAGAACAAGGCTGGCGGCTTCAACCCAAAGAATCCCGGAAAAAACGACGTCGTTGTCAAGAAGGAACTTCCAAACTCTTCGTCTCATCACTCCACCACTTCTTGATCAAAGACCCCAAAGCGGTAATCTCTCCACTCTTCTAAATTTATACATGGCATAGGTTGAAGAATTGATTAAGATTAAAAATTCGCCTAATCAATCAGATATATTGTATATATATCTCTAGAGTTGGTGATTTTTAAACTGTCTACCACCATAGAACCAGGAGCTATAGATATATTATATATCTATGATTAAAAGTTGAAACAACTACGCAACCGAGATATATAGTAGGATGATTGAGGAAAAACCCTAGCTATGCGTTCTTGATGGAAGAAAAAAACCCTAAAGTATATGGTGGATCGAGTTATATTTGGGCGGGTTCTTGATGGAGTTATATTTTTCGCTGTACGTTACATGCATCATGTATATATCCAAGTACATAGGCAAACGAATGCCATAAAGTACGCGTACATTTTCATGTGCATAAACAAATACGTAATGTCACATGTACAGGACGATCATGTATATACGTTCGTATACACACACAGCGAGACTGGGAAATCTCTAATTCATCAGAGTCTGGCACTAATTAAATACAGAGTTGACTGTATAATATATATATATACAAAGATCAGCATATAATCTTTTTCTCGCAATGATTGCTACGATTTTGGAATACTAGGATGATTAGGATATAACGTTATTTTATTCCCTGTTGGCTTATTTTTATAAATATTTCTTTAATAGATTATAATTGAAAAAAAGGCCTAGGCAGGCCACTAATGTTTATGTAATTTTTTTTTTCATTTGTTAAGAAGCATAGCATATATAGCACAAGAACTTGTACTATCTACCACCGTGTTTTTCACCGATGAACCAAGAACCGAATCAGCACCGCTC